ATGCTGCCAGGCAGCATAATGACAATTGGATCAGAATCGGCCTATATGGCTTGTTAAAAATCAGCCAACAGTATCAGCCCAAAAAAATCTCTGTCAGTGCACCCCTAGATAACATGGCCCTGCCCTGAGCACACTGGGCTGCTGCACAGCCAGATCTGGGTACATGGGGTGGGGCCAGCGTACAGCTGGATCTGAGCACACAGGATCAGGCCAGCGCATAATGACACCTGGTGCAGCAGCACCCCACGTGCTAATCCTGCACAGGATCCAGCCTGTAGACTCATCCAAGCCACTCATCCAAGCCCATGGGGTTGGAAGGTTGGGCACCACTGACCCAGATGATTGTAAGAGCTACTACTACTCTCAAGTCCTTTGAAATGGAGCTATATGGAAAGTAGGGCCTAAATGCTTGTATTACTTTATTTACCAAGCTGTGTATGGCTCCCATGCCAGAACAGAGTAGTAGTACTAGAAAAAGACCCAATTCTTAAAGAGACCTTCCCAGAACCACCCATCCTGGCCTTTAAACAAGCACTGAACCTCGCTAACCTCATCACCAGAAGCAAACTTTCTACAGCCCAAAACACACCAAATGGATCCAGACCATGCCATGACAAGAAATGTAAAACCTAACAACAATATCTCCACCACCCCCACAATTACTACACCCCACAACAGAACCATCAGCGTTCCTGGATTTTATAGCTCCAGAAATGTAATACATCTCATTCAATGCAGTAAATGCCTTGATGGAAAATACGTAGGAGAGACCAAACAACAACTGCGCACCAGAATGAACGTACACTGGAAATCTATCAAAGACAAGAATACCCAATTACCTGTGGGGGCACATTTCTCACAAGAAAACCACTCTCTCTCCAATCTCTCAGTTCTAATCTTCAAAGGGAATTTACAAAACATCTTTCACAAATGAGCCTATGAGCTTCACTTCATCAACCTACTGGATACAAAAAAATATAGACTAAATATAGACCTTGGATTTATGACACGTTATAACCTGCCTAAGATCTGACTCCCCAGGTACCTCTCCACTATTTACCAGTTATATTCATTCCCCAAGCCCCCTCCCTTCAACCTCCCCTCCCCTGGCTCAATCTCCTATTTACATTGACTCCTATTTACATTGTCACCGACTGACTTTCTTGCATGCATACCAGCCTCTGGCTTCTTTTCTATTCATTCCATCTAGCAAGAGCACAGACCATCTGCAGATGCTTCCTCAGCCTGATGAAAGGTGTATGTGCCCGAAAGCTTGCAAAAAAGAATTCTTTCCAACTACTGGAGTTGGTCTAATAAACAATATCAAATTTACCCAAAAAACCTTGTTTGCCTATGTCCTTAAACCATCACTGCTACAACCTATACCCCTAGAACTGAGTAGTAGAATATTTCAGGTGTTCAGCTATGGCTTCAGAAGCACAAATTTCAGACCCACTTGAAACTTTTGCTAACGGTTGTTCACAGCACCCATAAGAACCACATGCCCATAGCTGCAAATGGTCCATTCAAGTTGGACGTCTCACTAGCGATACATTGCCTTGTACACAGTGCACTATAGAAACAGGTGTGCCTGAATCATGCTAGCCCTATGGGCAACTAAGCTTAGGAGGACCTTCGCCTTGGTTCCCATGACATTTCTGGTGCCCACACAAGAACAAGATATCACCTCCTTACGTCAAAGCTTTTTGGCATAACTTTAAAATTGGAAGGCATATTTGAGGGTTTTGGCCCTGCATTTATGCAAATATACTGAAAAACAATAAATCTGCAATTCTTTTACATCAAGCAGATATGGACAATGAATGGGCACAAGGAGTAATTGAAAAACAACATCAGAAAGGTGATAGTAACAGATGTGATGAAACCTGGGAAGATTCCCAAGGCAAGGACACACACACACACACACACACACACATCCAGAGTATGGGAGAGGCGGTGACAGAATTAGGACCTAGTTGCACATCACACTTAGGACGTGCTAACTGCACTAAAAATGCTAGTGTCTGAGCATTTGAGCAGCAAAACACATGCTAAGTGCCATCCTAGGGTAGCAAAGTGAGGCCTTTTCTGGCAAGGAGTATTTCCAGATTGTATTACCTGACAAACAGGTCTCACGAGGTATGCAGGAGCAACACTGAGCAGAGAGAGAAGTAATCCAGGTGTGAATGCTGGCACCAGAATCACCCCTCTCCTCGATGAGAGGATTTATCTGCAATCCAGCAGTACAGCAATAAGTGAAGGTTAGCTAAAAACATGTGTGAGTTTTCACCTAGCTGGGGCCTGCCTGGGGACCTGGACTCCCTTTCTGCACTGCCGCACTATATCAAGACCTGTGAGGATGGCTCACACCTTTCATTTTTTGGTGGGCTCTGTATACTGGTAGCCATCTTCTGAGGGAGAAAAGGAACGTGCCTTATACATTTATTCATCCAGGAATGACTGAAAGAAAAGAACTGGGGCATACAAACTAGAGTGTCAGTTGCTGGATTTTGAGGGAGCTGTGGCAATAATCCACTAGTTGAGGACCTGGTGCCTTCCTATCCAAAGGTAATTCCCTCATTCCCAAATCAGACATTGTTGAACCAAAAAGTGAGGCTCCTTCCAAAAACAGAAATGAATGCGTTCAGAAAATGTGGACTTCTAAGTGAAACAAGGAAATTTGGGTCTGAAAACCAAGGCAACTTTCAGTTTAGCTTATCAGTACTTAAAAGATGCACTGCAAACAGCAGCTGTCTCATCCTTTCCCACATGATTCAAGAGTCTAATTCAACCAATTTTCAACATGCTTACGCAGCTCTCAATACACTGAAAATTCTGCTCATGATTTGGACATGCCCGGAGCAGCATCCATTGCTGCTGCAAGATGCCCGCATCAGCGTATCTGAAAATAGGGCTCTCCTAGCTCTGATGTAACGGGATGTAGGTAATCAGCCCAGCCTTGCTCTCGGCACTGCTTCTCTGCAAAGCACTCCTTCTCTGTGAGTATCTGCATTGCAAGTTATTTTTCCTCAGACTCATTAGTTTGCATTTTACTTGACTGCATCTCATTTTGTTATTTTCTAGACCATGGTTTGAGTCTCTCCAGGCTTCTTTATATTATTTCTGCCTGGAATCTGAAAGACCTGGTATCATTTGCAAATAAAATTACTGTGCTTTGCACCACTGAAAGCTGAGCTAGAGAGGAGAGGATGGCCTTGCCGTTGTGGCACAATACAGAGCTCCGGAGACCAGGGAGCAGTTTCCAAGACAGCTACTGTCTCCCTGCATTACCTTGAATAGTCACAGAAAGAAAAACTGAGTCACACGGGTACTATGCAGGTGAAGCTGTAACACCTTCACAGCTTCCTGGAACACTACAGCAGCAGTAGGGGTGGATCTCAGAGCCGTGAGCCCCCGCTGCGTGCATGGCTGCCACTTGGATTAAGAGAACCACGATACTGGGCAGTATCCTGATCTTCTCTCTAGGCTTTGTGTTAACACTAGAGGGCAATGTATCCACACAAACAAGCCTTTAGAGCCAGGACAAAATTCATTCAGAATTCAAATTTAGCTACAGACCCAGTCCTGATGGGAGGAGCTGGAGGTGTTAGGCACCTCTCAGGGTCTAGCTCACAGCTAGTGGCGGAGAACCTTAGGCAGGCAAACAGTTCTGTTTGTATTCAGCAGAGGGTATTAGGTTCACATCTTCACTAGTAAGGCCAAAGCAATCCTCCCTTCCCCCTCTCTCTAGGATGTTAGGAGGCTTAAGTATCAAGCACACTGGATGAAAGACAGTTTGATTATTATGGTTAGATAAAAGCATAAAGTCCAGCCAGAACAACAAACCCAGCCACTGGACCTTGCCCCTAAACTCAGAGCATCACTGCTGCTATTACCTGTTATTTAAGGTTTATTTCGGTCCACTTGATGGTACACAGCAATCTATACACCCCCTGAGTCCACAGCCATAGATTATGCCCAGCGTCCACCCTTCAATTTAAAACTGCAGTCCTGAATCCTTAGCTTTCATTTAAAACTTGTATTTTTCTAGCACATGGGATTGTGAATATAACATTCCCAAACAAAGCAAGCACAAAACTGATGGAACCTGGATGATGGATGAGAGCGCTAAGGTGTCGACTGCCCCTATTAACCTCAGTGGCTGTCTGCTCTGAAACCTAACAATGATAATTTAAAAAATCAGTCTTATTCACTGCTGATCCTCTTTGCACAAATATCTAGCTAATGTGCCAATCTCTCAAAGTGTCTCCCATTTCTTCCTGGCTGTCAGCTGTTCTTAAGCCAGCTAACAACTTCTACAATGCAGCCTAAAGCTCTGTGGCACACTGAAAATTAACGGGTACCATAAAACACATCACACAAGATCTTCAGCTGGTATAAACTGGCACTGGCTAAGGATCTGGCCTGTTGAGCACAACGTAAGCACGAAGAGCAGGCAGAATTCTATACTGAATGGATCATTCATTTCCACATTTAATTCAATAAAGAGCTGCTTTCCCCCACCACACATTTACACTTTTGCAGTATTTCTACTCTGCTGATCACCAGAACCCAAAAGGCCCTTGCAGCAAAATTTAAACCCAGCTTGCTCCAGAGTACTCTTCTCCAGTGTAATTTTAGTTCATTTTTCAATGAAAAGTGCGCTCCCTTAGCCTACCACATGTATCCAAAAAGATCTACTCTTTATAAAGCCCACCTTGCCACAGAGGTTAGTCTGTAAATAGCCTTATAAAGCTGGCAATCATTGGCCCAAAATAAAGTAACCTCAGGAAACTCTGGGCAGGTTGTCCTCTTTGTTCTCCTCCAGTAACCAGACCCTATTAAGGAGCCTGAGTCTGCTGTTTCATGGCCCTTTGGCTCAAGCAGCTGAGGCTCACTGCTGTTCAATTCTGCCCCCCACCAAGACAACTCAAGGACATCATAGCCAAGATTGGTTGCACAGTCAGGAGATTCTTGCTGTTTGTGATGATGGGACTTACCCCTGGTTTGTGCCCCACTCATTCCGGATACAGAGATGTTTGTGCACAGGGTCCTTCATGTAACCTTCATAGCAAAGGCACTCACCTAAGAACAAGAAGAGAGGACATAAGGGAGTATGAATGGTACCAGCTGCTGCTGGAGGCAGGATGCTGAACTAGATGAACCGAGGGTCTGATCTTCTCCTCCTAATCAAACCAGCTATGGAGAACCCCAGGCTGAGGTGGCACTCACAGTAGACAGGTTCCCTGTGTCAGGAAAATCTGAAGGACGAAGAGCACAGATTACCTTCACCCCTGCCCTGGGATAGACAGCAGGTGCCATGACATGGAAGGAGATGAATCATCACTTTCATCAGAGGATCACCTTTCCTTTCCCCAGAAATTACCATAGCAGTCAGTGCCAGTCCCCAACTCCTGCTTTAAAGGTTGGTAGCTCCACACAAACAGCAAGCCTTCCATGCTTAGTAGCTCTTTTGCCCTCACCAGCTCAGAAACTGTTTCTTCAAGAGGGAGAACCAGCAAATGTCACAAATAGTAGTGCAGCAGAAAAAAAAGCTTGCTTGCTCGCTCACACACACACATTTGAATATAGTATTAAGAAAATTACATAATGATTGCAAACAGGAGCCAGAGGGGCTGTGTCAAGGAACCACAAGAGAGAAGATGAGCATAAGCCGAAACACATACAAATGGTGAGCATCCTTTTGTGGGCAGCATGTAGCCATCGCAAAGCCAATGACAAAGGACAGTGGAACCACTGTAGTGCCTACTCTCCTCCTTTCCCTCCCCTCTTTGGAGCATCCCCCAGGGCAACA